CAAGTGTTTATCTTGGCTGATTAAGGAAGAATCTATCTGGATCACGCTTTGTTTTTTATTGTGACTTGTCTGTATATTTCTTCAGGTTTTATAAACAAAACATGCTGCTATTGATTAGCTGCAAGAATGCACTTTAGACATACTTCACAGTTCAAACTTTCGAAATAAAGATGTTAGTGACTGGCCAATAATAAAACCATTTTAGGAAGTTGTATGTGTATATATACTCACTTTCTGACCATTAGCTATGCCAAAAGAATTGAAATAAAAAGCACCAAGAAGTACAAACTTGTGTGAGAACCATTTAACATACACTCCTAGCACCTTGCCTCGCACATTAGCCAATACTCATTGGTGGGATGAATTAAATGAAAATACTAGAGATTCTCTCTCACCTTGGGGCTACTTGTTTTAGGGTGCAAATAACAGCTTTAAGTGAGAGGTATTTCCTATGCCAAGAACCAGGAATCTTCTTCCAGAGTCTACAAGTGATCTACTGGAACACCACAGCCCATGGACAATTCTTCATATACAGACGTTTGCCTTGGAATCTCCGTTTATACTTAAGCCTTCAAGAGCAGCATTTGAATGTCATTCAATTTCACTCTCCCTTTATTGGTCATAACCAAACAAAAGTGCCTCTCTACACACCAAAATAGTCAGACTTTTACCCAACTATGCTAAAGAAAGTGGGCAGGATGCTGCTACAGACCCAAAGAGGGCCCACTTGCATTGCCTGGAGTGGGGAGTCAAAGTACAAAACCACTGACAAGATTTGTGAGGCCTGACAGGAGAGCCAGGCAAGACATCTGAGTGGGGCAGAGATGAGTTTGGAGATAGGAGGAGGACCTCAAGGAGTCGGTCTGCTCCACGAAAACACCTGCAATGGTGACCACTCACAGGTGTTGGAAAACAAAGCTGGTAAGGACTGAACACTGGGCGTCTCAGGTCACAGTTGAAAGGACCTACTTCTATCCAGCAGCACTGACTGCTGGGGAGGAAGAAAAAAGAGGCAGACAGAAATAACAGGAAACTTAGGGGGCCTCCCTGGTGGCGCAAGGGGTTAAGCACAGCACTATGAAGCTATACCCAGCCGGCCAGGGAGCTACCCACATGGCACAGCAGACCTCTTCTGTCACGCCTGCTGCTCCCCTCAGCAGTATATTTCACTCAGTCTGCCTGTTCTGCTCCCCACTCTGTCTCTGGTGAATCCTCTTACCCCCCGCATCTCTGGCCTGTACCCTAGCTCTTGTATGCATAAATAAACCAATCTTTAAAAAAGAAAAAAAAATAAACCACACGAATGGAAACCAAGAGAAAGCTAGGGTTACTATATGTATATCAGACAAAACATACCTTAAAACATTGTTATACAAGACAATAAAGGCATACTGATAAAGGAATCAATTCAACAATAAGCTAGAACATCTGTAAATACTTAAGTACCCAACACAGAAGCACCTAAAAAGCAAATATTAATAAAGCTAAAGGCAGAAATAGACAGCAACACTTAGTAACGGTAAGGTACCTTAATACCCTTATTAGCAATGGATAAATCATCCAAGCAAAATCAATAAGGAAATAGCAGCCTTCAATGAAATTTTTGACCAGACTGACAACCAAAACATACAGAATATCCACCCAAAAGCAACCGAATGTACACACTCACAAATTGACATCAGCGGTCTCTGAAAAATCATATTGGGCCACAAAACAAGTCTTAAGTTCAAAAAATCTGAAATCATACGAAGCATCTTTTTTTGACCACAATGGTACAAGACTAGAAATAAATTAGAAGAAAAAACTGGAAAATTCATGAGGAATAAACATGCTACTTAGCTACTAAGTAACCAATGGGCCAATGAAGAAATCAATTAAGAAATTTTAAAAATACTGTGAAACAAATGAAAATGGAAATGCACCATGCTGAAATTTACTGATACAGAAAAAGCAACATACAGAAATTGGCTGCATTTCTATAAAGAATGAAACATCGGGCCTTCCCAGTGGCGCAGCAGTTGAGCGCTGGGTTGCGAAGCTGCCCGCAGCCTCTGCAACGCTGGTTCGATCCCCGGCTGGCTGGCAAGGGTCCTACATGGCGTGCAGACCTCTCCTGATGCCCGCTGCTCCCCTTGGCAGTGTATTTCATCGGTCTGCCTGTTCTATTCCCCGCTCTGGTGAATTCTCTCACCCTCCCACGCTTCTGACTGTATCCAGTGCTTGCATAAATAAATAAATCTTAAAAAAAAAATGAAACATCTGGAAAAGAAATAAAATACCCATTCACAATAGCATCAAAAACAGTAACACACTGTAGAATAAGGGAAGTGAAAGATCTACTTAGACAATAAAAACTAGGCCACTTTATTTAAAGAAATTGAAGAGGATACAAAGAAATGGAAAAATATCCCCACTTTATGAACTGGAAGAATTAATATTTCTAAATGTTCATACAACTCAAAGCTACGTAAAGATTCAAACAATACCAACCAAAATACCAGCATTCTTCATAGAATTACCAACTGCACAATTTGTATGGAACTACAAAGACCCTGAATAGCCAAAGCAATCCTCAGCAGGAGGAGGGGAACAAAAGTTTTAGATTTTTGTACTTTCTGATTTAAAACTGTCCTACAAAGCTACAGTAACAAAAATAGTATGGTAGAACAAAAATACACACAGACCATCAGAACAGAATGAAGAGCCCAGAATTAAACCAATTAGAAAAAATAATATTCTAATGTATTATTACATTCTTACGTAAGCAAACATACTTGTGTTTAAGTGAGGACTTCTTTTGAAGCTGATTTTTTTTCTTTTACTACAAAGATAGCTAATTTAATTTTTTGTTAGTAGTGAAGGTGTGATATTAGCCTTGATCAAAAGCAGATTCAAAAGTTAAGAAAAAAGACAAACCCACTTCCTTGTCACTAACAATACAGTAGTAACAATGTCATAGGCATGTTTTTAAAACACATGACAGCACTCAAAGGACATTGCTCATTCTTTTGAAAATACATCTGTAGGGTTAGGTAAAAAAGTGTTAGGCTTTTCTGCCCTCCCACCATCAGGATAGATGGATCCTTGCGGTCCTGAATGCATGCTTGATGGCGGGCACCTGGAGTAGGGTGTGGGCCTATGTAGATGGGATTCACCTGGGCTAAGACTGGGCTTATAAGGCAGGGTCACGGGGACGCCAGAAGAACCACAAGAAAAGCAGAGAGAACGTGAGAGAAGGCCAGGCCGGAGCGCCCAGATAGAGTGAAGGCTTGCTGGGGGCTAGGAGGCCTGCCAGCCTCCCAGCCCCCCTGTCCCCTAGCACCCCGGCCTGTGGTAAATCCCAATAAAAGCCTGAAAAGCCACTGAGGGCTCCAGGATACCTGGTCTGCTGGATCAGAAAACCTGCTCAGTGTGTATACAAAATAAGGGAAATGCATGAATAATTGGTGTTTTGCTGAAATCATTCTCTTAAGTAGTTATAAAGAGTAGCTGTGGTTAACTGGGTGCTCAGTGTTTTGGAAAGGTGACTTTAATTACTGGTAAAGAAAGTTAATGACTTGCTCAGGTACCCCCAGAATCATCAATGTTGGACACACTTAAGCCCAATACTAACATCACAGCTTTTCACTATTCTAATGATTGTCCCATCTTCCTAGTTTGACCAAAATGGCTTAGCCTTAATTTTATAAGTTCTCATGTTTTGCAAAACAGAACTAGTTGTTAAGTCTTTTCTTACTGATTTATAGTATTTTAATATTTGGGGGCATACTTTGGGCCTTACATTTTCTCCCAGTCTAATATTTTTCACTTTGGTTATGGCATTTTTTTAAGTAAAATTAATTTTCAGGAGTTTTAGATTTCCAGAAAAATTGTCGGGATATATAGAATTCCCTCTACATTCATAGCTAGTTTCTTCTATTTAGTATATTTGTTGACATATTTTATTTGCCAGATTTGTTTTTTGGCACTACACTGGTTGGGGAAGTGTGCTTTGGACTGATTCAGTCTGGCGTTGGAAAGGGTTGAATTTTTCAATAATTTTTTTTTCACCCAATTCCACTATAATTGTGTCCTGAAATTGGATGAAAACTCACTAGCTTTATTTTTTAAAAAGTCTGATAGTTTTTTTTATAAAAGCTTATTTAAAAGCTTGGGATATTAATATATATTTATATTTGTGACGAATACTGATCTAAATTAGAGAATTCCAATAGAACGTCTGGTCAGGGATGATTATGAGAAAATGGAATTGACTGAATAAAACAGGTTCCCGAAAGGAGACGGGATAAAAAACAAAACTGAATCACCTTCCCAGGAAAACAGGTAAATCCCAACAGGGAAAAAGTACATGAAATGTAAAGATTACCATTTTTGATGATAGGAAATTAGGCTTCAGATCATGTAATAAATGATGCAAGTTGTAAAGAATTGGAAAGAGCAAAAACAAAGGTGACAAAATTCACTCGTAATCTCCACACTCCAGGCCACACACAAGCAGGAGACACTCAAGTTAGGCTTCAAGACTCTAAATCCACACTCCGCGTAACTGTAATCCTGGGCCAGCTACACGGCCCGCAGCTTGGTGTCACCATCTGCAAAACGGAGGTAGCCGCACTTACCTCCTCAGCCGTGCGGGGAGCGGGCGCGTCCTGCGGCGCGAGGCCCGGCGCCGGGACGCTCCCGGCGCTCGGACGCTCCCGTCACCGCCTCGCGGCCAGTTTCTCCCGTCCACCTCCCTCCCGGCCGGCTGGGGGCTGGCGACGTCACTTTGTGATTATCTAAATAGTGTCACACGCGCTACCGTCCACGGGGTGACTTCCTTTTAACTAGGTAGCTACCCGCAGTTTGACTCAAATCAGGGTAGCTGCCATCTTGACCGCAGTCTCCTAGCAACCTCCAGAACGCGCGAGCCAGCTCCGTGCGCGTAGTGCGCAGGCGCCTCCCGTGGGCCCTTGCGGGCGGCTCTCGCTCCGCCTCTTCCGCTAGACGCGGGCGCCGATTGGTCGGCGTGGTGGCTATAAGAAGCTGAGCGCAGGCGCGCAGCCTCCTTTCCTCAGCTGTCGCTAAGGTGCTCGGTCCTTCCGAGGAAGCTAAGGCCGCGTTGGGGTGAGCCCCTCACTTCATCCGGCGACTAGCACCGCGCCCGGCAGCGTCTGTCCAGCCCTCGCCCGCACCATGGCTTCGGTCTCGGAGCTCGCCTGCATCTACTCGGCTCTCATCTTGCACGACGACGAGGTGACGGTCACGGTGAGTGGGGCCCCGGGCGGGGGGCGGGGCGGCCTGCGGGCGGCGGACTGTCCGCCCGCGCGTCCCGGCGTGGGGGCCGGTCTCTCCCGGCTGTTGCGGCGGCGCCTTCCGGGGGGGCCCGGGGTAGTGGGGGGATGGGCCCACGTGGGGTGCGGTCGGGGAGCCTCGGCCACGTGCCGGCCTGCGTTGCGCGACTTCGCCCGCGAATTTGCCACCGTTAATTGAGAAAAACGCCCAAAACGGATCTTGGGCGTCCGAGATCACCCCAAAATGTATTCCGAGACGCCCGGTTCCTGTATTTGACGGGTCGGCCTTGAATTTTTTGGGTCCGCTGAGGCCGTGCCGGGCCGGCCTGCGGGGTGTGGAGGACCTCGGAGCTCGGCTCCGCCTCCCGCCCTGACTCAGGACTGGAAATAGCTGCTCGGTTTGGGCTGGCCCTGCCCTGGGACGCGGCCGGGATGGCCCTGAGCCCGTGCAGGCCGTTTGGCACGTGGGCAAGAGAAGGCTCTTTTCTGGTTCGTGATAATTTGAAAACGGCCGTTTTAAGCAAGTCCAGGTCGGGTATTTGAAATGGGCATTCTTTGGTGTACAGGTATTGGTGTTCTTTACAGTGTTTTGGGGAGGTTTGTGGAAGCTATACTTTGCTCTCTGATGGATTGGCATTTTATTTGTTTTAGGAGGATAAGATCAATGCGCTCATTAAAGCAGCGGGTGTAAATGTTGAACCTTTCTGGCCTGGCTTGTTTGCAAAGGTAAGGTGATAGCAAAATGTAATTTAGGAAGTTGGGTGTTAGTGCTGCCCTCCAGAAGTGCCGGAATTCCCCGTGCTCCTGGACTTCCTTCAGTAAAAGTGTTATTTCTTCACATTTCTATTCTTCGGGGCTAAATAAGTGTTTGTCTCTTAATTGATCTGAGTCTGGCTTCTCTTACATTGTGAAACCATGGTTAAAAAAAAGACTAAATCAGGTCACTCCTTTAAAAAAAGTGACCCAAGAGGTAATATCTATGCTATTTGAAGCACATCCTCCCAGTATGATAGCCTGGCTTAATGGAAATTAAGTGTGGTGGTATTTGTTGATTACTTACTGTGTCGGGATAGAAAAGACTCATGTAGACAGGATTGCTGCCAGAGGGGTTGGGTACTGGCGGTCTTCCCATTGCACAGATCATCTCTGGTAAGTAGATGACGTCTGACTACTAACCTAGTGTCCTCCGGAAGAGCTTTCAAAGGTTAAAAACACTGTACCTGCATCACCTTTTATAAATTCCTTTGGAAGAAGTTACAGAATTAGCATTTGGAAAATATAATTCACTGTTAGAGGCAACATGGAACTTCTGGAAGAATCCTGGTTTGACAAGGAAAGCCAGCACTTGAGGCCAGTATCCCCATTTGTACTTCACTGCTTAATATAGGGTGCATGTAAGGTGTAAAGCCCAGAGTAGTTTTTCGTAACTGCTAAAATGGCAATGGCTGTGTGGGTTGCCCTATATATAATCTAAATTTTCAGGATGGTAGATTACAGGAAAGAAGAGAAACGTGTAGTGTTGGGAGTTAATCACTAAGTTCAAACAGGTGTCTTTTCTGGATACTAGAATAAGTGAAAGGATAGACTGAGTGTTAATTTGCCTCTGTGTACACATGGTTTGCAGGCCCTGGCCAATGTCAACATTGGAAGTCTCATCTGCAATGTAGGGGCTGGTGGGCCTGCCCCAGCTGCAGGGGCTGCCCCTGCAGGTGGTCCTGCTCCTTCCACTGCTGCTGCTCCAGGTAGGAAACCATTGGAGGGAGGAGTAGGGAGATTAATAAGTATTCTAGGCAAAGTTGCTCTTATTTGCCAAGAGTGATGTGTAGAAATCCTAAATAAAAAAAGCCATAGTTTGGATAGGTGGAAGTCAAGGATAGTTTTGATAATGAAAGTTGAAGGGCCTGGGGCTGTTTGGAATTTAAATGTTGAGATGTGATTGACATAAATTTTTCTTTTTTTTTTTTTTTAAAGCTGAGGAGAAGAAAGTAGAGGCAAAGAAAGAAGAATCTGAGGAGTCTGATGATGACATGGGCTTTGGTCTTTTTGACTAAAGGTCTTTTGTAACACGTTCAATAAAAATTTGAACTCTTTGTTCTTTGTTGGGGGTAGTGTTTGGTGATGATCTCACTTTTGTCTAAAGTTGGCTTTTAGCCTTTTCTGCTTTGACAGTATAGGTTTTCCTCTTTGCCGCCATCTCTTAGTGGGAAACACTATACCAAGCTGGACTTGGTACTAAGTATGCACTTAATGTTGCAGCAATGAGACATGGGGAGGTGGGGGTGATCAGAGTAGAGGTTGTGCAGATGATTTATATAATTTTATGGCTAGGTTTTTTTCCCCTAGATGTGAGCTGGTGGGGGCGGGGGTAAGGAGGATTGGGGTGGTAATCTTAGACCTAAGATTTAGAAAGCTCTCTGGGTAATTCTTTAGTGTAATCCTGGCTAAAGATTGAGCTGTCTCAAATGAGCTCAGACATTGACACACGTGTGTCTGGGGGCGTTAGGTGGAATGTGGAAAATTTAGGTTAAGCTCTCAGCTATACAGGTGGATGAAATCAGAAATGAGATCTATGAAATCCAAGAGAAGTTTTTTTTTTTTTTTTTTGGTGGGAGGAGGGTAGCTTCAGTCACACTAAGTCAATGTGACTAAAATGGCATGAGGTAGAAATTGGTCCACTTTACAAAATGTTAGGGTGTCCCTGGATATGCTTTAGGAGGAGCTACATACAAGATGCATCTCTGGGAATGTCCATACTAAACAACAAGCATATTAAATAGTTTCATTGTTAAGTTCTACTAACATCCTGAAAGCAAAGCATCTATCTTTTGCCCTAATATTTAAATCCTGCATCAGCAGGATGCTAGGATTATGTGTTCAGTGCACAGATTATTTTACGGAGAATAATAGGAACTAGTGTGCTCACTGACAACCATCTGAGAACAAAATTGATGTCAATGTGTTGCACAGTTGGTTAAGAAAAAAAAAATCCTCAGCTTTTCCCCTCAAAATTAAGGTGAGAGCCATATGTGAACTTTAAATACAACATAATGGTATAACCAATTCAAATAAACTTGAGTTCTCACCCCATAATTTGAAGCAGAATATATACAGTAAAATTGGAACAATGTAAGCCAGGGGATTTGCTTGGGTATCCTTTTCACAAGTTCTCCCATGCTAATTGGCTCTATTTGTCTATCAACTTGCTCCAGAGACTTCCTGACACAGTCATAGAGGACAAAGCTGGGCCTGGAACCCCCAACTCGAATCCAGTATTCTGTAATGACATGTCCCTTCCACACAGGTTTGGAAACAAGCCTGAATAGCTAAGCTAGAGGTAGACACGAGCTGCTTTCTGGACAACACTGATAATAGTTCTCAAACAGCAAGATGTCCCTCTAGTTCAGATTATAGACACTCATGCACCATGGGACATGGATTGCTCAGGTCAGAATCTGCAATCTGGAACACTTGGGACACAGAGTTGGGGCCTTAACATTTTCACAGAATTCCACAGATGAGTTCCTCTGTTTTGTTGGCCAGAGCTTCCACTCTTGTATATACTTTGAGGGTTAGTGTGGTGACCAATTAAAGTTAGAAATGAGAATTTTCCAGATTCCAGATCTCTGCACTGCTACTCTTAGGGCACTGACTACCTCCTCTAGTCAATTCCACATCCAACCACAGGAAGCCCACTCCTAGTCTATAAGAAGTCTTAGATCCCAGTACAACCCACTTGTCTCACCCTCCCCACCCTTTTTTAAAAACTTGGAAGAGTTGAATTAGCATTGCATATAAGTTTCAGGTGTGCATTATAAATCAACATCCGTACATACCACATTAAGTGCACTACTAAAAGTTCTATCTTTCAAGCATACAACTGACCTCTTTTACCTGATTATCCACCACTTAAAAGTGTTTGTGATGGTTCAGTATCCTCTCCACGTGATTAAGTTCAGGAAACGGTGTCTCTTTTTTGGTATCTCAAAATTCTTAACACACTGCCTGGTTCCTTGATGGCGTTCAGCATACTTTCATCAGAGCCCAACCCTCTTATCTTTGTCATGAGGAAAGAAGGGCTAGACAGGAGGAGGAGAAATTCGTTCAGCAGCAATTTCTAGCAGTATTAGAACTGGAGCCCAAGTCTCTGGACCAGTAAATGCTCTCCACAAGGTAGCAGACAGGTCGGAGCAGAGAAACCCCCGTATCCCACCACAAGCCTCATTCATTCATTTCATTAGCACTTACTCCGACCTTGCAGGTTGTCAGATACAGGTGTGGATGTTCATGCTCTAAGGTGGGGAAACCCACACCCGGAGGAGGACGCAAGGCCCCTCAGGGACCAGTTCCCCAGAGGTAACACGAGGGCGTCGGGGGGTTGGGGGGATCCCCAGGTGAGGCCCCAGCCCGGCATCTGGAGATGCAGCACTAGCCTGGCGTGGCGGCCCGCGGATGAAGGAGATCGAAGCCAGGAGGCCGCAGGAAGTGTTCTCACCTCACCCGACCTCCCAGCCTGGCACGGGGACCCAGGCGTCTGAGCCCACGCTCAAGTTCACACGTACAGTCCGCCGCACGCCAATCAACCTCTGCTCCGGGGGAAGGGGCGGGGCGAGAGGCGGGACTAGAGGCCGAGCGTGGCCAAGGGAGCTTCTCAAGTGCACCGAGACCTCGTGGGCCGCTAGGGGGCGCGCGTGCCCGTCAGCGTGAGTCGCGCTACCAACAGCTTTGAAAATCTGGTTTATTAGCGGCACGCAGGTCCCGGCTGCTGGTTAGTGGATTCAGGCAACTAATTTATTGTGAAACCTCTATGTCCCGAGATTCCAGCATTGTCATTGGCCAACAGGTATGGAAGGGGCATATTTGTAAAGCGGGAATAATGACCGCGTTCCTGCCACACAGTTGTATTTTCAGAATGGGACCAGCAGCAATAGACTTCAGAGTTTGGGCTAGTGACGATCGATCAGTAAGTTCCCTGATCTTTTGCTTTGGGGAAGAGACCTGTTTCCAGCACCTTCATCTCCAGAAAGAGTTTTTGCCCTGAGAAAGAAGTGGCAAGATTTGATTTTTAGCTGCTTATCAGCTAGTTAAGTCACCTGGGACACTGTTAAAACAGAATCGGATGAAACAATGGTTAACTGTAACTGAACAGCTTTCTGCATCCTTCTACAGGCCACTGAACCAGGGACTCCCGGGAGGAGCCTGCGTTTTAACAAGCTTTCCTGCAGAGTCTGATCATTAGTCTGCAGCTGGAGTAGAGCAAACCCAGCTCCTCAAAAGGTACCTGACAAACAGGTGTATAATAAATATTGTTTGATGGAACAACTGAATAACTGTCTTCAAATATTGAAAGAAGATTCAACAGTTGGATAATAAACCATGTTGACAAAATTTGGAAGATGGATGGTTGGTTTGAGTGTGAATTACTACAAATTTTTAAGAAGGGTAATTTGGTTCTATCTCAAAATTAAATGTCATAATATCCACCCAGGAATTTCACTTGTAGGACTCCATCCAAAAATATCTCTACAATTTAAGTGAAGCATTGAGGAGAAGCTTTCATGTAGCCACTAATAGGAGTGCTGCTATTGAAAGCTATCCAGGATTCTGTAAATGAAAAAGGCAAGTTGCAGCCCAGCCTACAATATGACCCTAAAAGGTTCACATGCATATATTTACATGTGTAAAGAACATTTCTGGAAGAATTTGAAAGTAACAATTAACAGTAATTACCTCCCAGGAGAAGCACTGGAGAGGATGGGAGAGAGATTTTTCCATTTCCTTTTATCCTTTCCATATTCCTTGGGTTTTAAATAAACCACAACCATGTATACTTTTAATAGATTTAAGTCTGCTTTAGTAATGGCACTGTGGTCTCTGGCACTGGTTAGTGGATTAAGCCAACTAATCTGTTGTGAAACCTCTGTCAAGAGATTCCAGCACTTTCATTAACCGGCAGGAATGGGATGAGGGCATATTTTAAATTGGGGAGAATGACCCTGTTCCTGCTACAGGCTGTTTTTTTGAGCAGTGGGAAGGGGTATGTTAACAATTAACACTGTTGCTAATTTTTCAAAACTTGGAGAAGCTTTACTATGGAAGAGAAATTCAATTTACTCCATGTAACTCCGAAGGGGACAAGTCTGACCAATTTTGAGACAGTTGCAGCTCAAAATCAGAAAAACATTTGCTGGGCATGAGGCTGAGGCTGGGAATGGGAAGAACATGTCTGTTTCAGGAGGGAGGGAACGGGCCTCTGCTGCTGGTGAGATCCTTTAGGTCTTTTGGGATGATAGGGTTAATGTCAGATTACCGGGGCTGATGCTAGATTATCTGGGTTGACTCCAACTCTGCCATTACAGGGCTGTGTGACCTGAGGTAAATTGACTGACCTCTCTGTGTCTCAGTTTCTTCATGTGCATGGTGAGGATAATGATGATATATATCTCATAAAGTTCTTGGAGGATTAAATGAGATGGAAATGCTTTGCACACTTCCTGTTGAAAACAATTTTTAGTCTTTGCTATCTCATGTGGTGGATTGACACTTAAAAAATTAGAAAGAGAACTGGAGAAATAATTCCTACTATTGGAGGGACTATTTCATTTTTACATCCTTGAAATGTTTATGGAAATAGCCTAATACTGGGTTTTAGCTGATTGGTAGAATGGCATATAGACAGGAAGACTTACGGAGGGAATTTTGAGTTTGTCTTCCAGATGTTGGTGCAGTGCTGCCGCCTAGTGTCCAAGTACAGGAATGGTGAACTGGAGACGTTGGCCTCTTCATGCCAGGCCACCCTGGGCTTGGGGTGTGTGTCAGGCAGGCAGAGGTGTCTGGCTGCTGGCCCAAGGGTAAACTAGTCAGTCCACACCTTGGAAAGGAAAAGCATGTTTGCATGCCCACCAGTGACCCAGCCAAGAGGAAACCAAGTGCACTTTAATATCATCTTGCCTCCTGTGTAATTTACTTAGTACACTTGACTTTTCCTCTTAATACGCTCAAGTTCATTTCTTGTCTAAAAACAAAGAAGAACATTACTGAGCTGCTGTGTTATCTGGTGTGCCCTTGGCGTTCCTCCAAGGTTATTGGAAGAAACAGTCACATGATAACCACTTTTGCTTTTGTCATAGAACTTTCGGAGGCTGCTGTGTCCTTATTGTCCTCTAAATAAGATCTTGTGTGAAAAAGTCTTTCAAAATTTAGGGGAAAGTCAGTAGCTGAGCCTCTTTTTTAATAATTAGAGCTCTGTGATCTATCACCTTAGCTTCTGCACCTCAGCTGCTGAGAAACAGTGCCAGACTTGATGACCAATCTCGGCCATTAAACTGACCCAAATGGATAATGTATTTGTTTCCTCCTTCTTTTGTTGGTATCGATTAAAAAAAAAAAACTTTCTGTGACTCTTTAATGACTTCACTGCATTTTTGTACTTTGATCTCTGCTCTTACATCCTTTCAAGAAAGAAGAAGCAAATCCATAAATTAAATGAAAAGCAGAATATTTGATTTTCTTTTTTGGTGAAGAGTCACGTAAGATGATTTTAAGTCAGTGGTTGCACTTGGGTTTTTGAAACTAAAAGTTTATGGGTCAGCGATTTCAGACCATAATGTTTCTTTACTTGGGAAAATGAGAAGCTCATGTAAATAAGGCCTTCAAGGAAGTTGTGAGGCAAGAGCAAAAGATCAGAAGCTATTAAGGTCCCTTTCCTTATCCACTATCACTAAGGATGATATTGGATCAGTGTGAACATTTTGAGACAGAAATTGTGGGTAAAAATATGTTTGGGCCAAAAGTGTTCTCACTGTTGTCTGAAATACCACTTCCTCATAGTCATCTTTAAATTTAAAAACAAACAAAAAAAATTCCTGGGAAGGTTAAGACATTAGTTCCTTGACACCTCAGACCAGATGAGATGGAGTCCCCACTTTTTTTTTTTTAAAAGATGATTTATGCATGCAAGAAGTGGGGTACAGGCCAGAGGCTTGGGGATGGCGTAAAAGGATTCACCAGAGACAGAGTGGGGAACAGAACAGGCAGATTGACTGAAATACACTGCTGAGGGGAGCAGCGGGCAAGTCAGGAGAGGTCTGCTGCGCCATGTGGGTTAGCTCCCTGGCCGGGCATGGAACTCATGCCTCATTGGCTGTGGACCGCTTCATAGTGCTGCGACTTAACCCCTTGCACCACCAGGGAGGGGAGACCCCCCCCAGCTTTTCCTTTCTGAGGGTCCTTTTGGAGCCTAGGCTCTGTCTCCTCACCCAGAGACCTGGCTCTTGGGTGAGAAAGTCCTGGTTCTGCTTCTATTAACTGTTTGATGCCAGTTAAGCCCAGGACAGAGGCCTTACAAGGACAATCTGGCTCACCCGCAGCCAGCCCCCACTCCTCTCGGGGCCCCACAAAGATGATGCCTCGCCTGGGCATGCGGTGGAGTCACCCTCCAGCCTGGGGCGCCTCAGCACCTTGCTGTTTACTCTCAAGTAGTCTTCCTTCTGTTTACTCAGCAAAGATTCTTTTAAGACAGGCTAAGCACACGATTTACTCTGTTAACAAGCCTTGGCATTTATTGTGAGGTTCTGTGTTGACTTATTCTTGAGTCTCCATTGACATTTACTGGGCAACATTAAAGCAAACACCAGAAGACATCCTGGGAGCTCGGGCCTGACGAAGGGCTCCGGGAGGGCCGCCCCGCTGCTGTGGTTAGAATCACCTTGGAAGTTAAAAATAACAATAACAGAGGCACTGTCAGAAATTCTAATCGTCTCCTCTTAGTCTTTAGATTCAGTATGTGAACACTTTGGCTAAAGGACTCCAGAAAGCTTCCTGTGTTAATTCTGGACAAGACCGCATCTGTGCCAGCCACTCTGTGGGCCTCCTTCCAGGCTGGGCACCACCGCCAAGTATGTTGGGTTGTGGGGTCAAGTGCAGCTCAGTCCCTAGGTGGTCGTGTGACTTTAGGACAGTCTCTTCCCTCCCAGAAAAAGTGGCTGAGCTGATCCTCTCCTAGCTGGACTGGGCGTTGGGCCTGAGCTTGGGCCTGAGAGTACTCAAAAATGTTTGCTGAATGAGTGGATGAGTAAGCCCTGCAGGCAGATCTCTGCAGCCAGGCTCTGACATCTTGTACCTGAACCCTCCCCCAGGATGGGCTTGGCCTTGAGTCATGGTCTGACAAAACCTGCTAATGGGGTGGTCATCGCAGACAACCTCAAACCCTCACATCTCAATGGGCTGCTGCAGCTGCCATGTGGTTTCACCTGTCTCCGCCTCTGGCTTCCCCCTGCTCTCCATCCAAGCTGGTGCTTGCAAAGGAAACATCTCTTCAGGTGAGGGGAGTGTATTTGGTTTGTCTTTGTTGCTTGGAAACTGTTGACATCCCGAGACAGTCTGTTGCCTACGCTGGGTAATGAAAAATTGATGACTTTTTTCTCTGTCAACAAACTCGCAGTCTGTTCACCTTGGCTGGAGTGGGTGGGAAGCTTGCTCCTGGTTTCACAGCTGTTTGCTTTCTTTCAAGCGGTTGGGTTTGCTTTCCTTAGAGGCAGGAGGGGCCAGACACAGTGGGGGCAAGATGAGGGTGGCTGGCTGTGTGCAGTGGACATGGGGAGGGTGGGTTTTCCTTCCCTCAGGGGCTCCTTAAGTCCCAGCAAGTGTCTTCGCCCCGCTGTCCTGCAGCACCTCTCCCCTGTATGGCATCCTCTGGCCACCAGGCCCAGAGGCACGCTCCAGTCTCTCCAGCCTGAAGGAGCCCTGGGGTCAGCCTGCAGTGCTCAAGCAAGGCCCATTTCCATTCCGCTCAGTCTAGTTTCTCCCCATGGCAGTGCATTAGCCTTGCTGCCCCTTCCCAAGGGCCAGCCGGTCTTCGAGTGCTGCGTGTTCGATGTAGGGAGTAACTGCTCTCTCGTTTTTCACATTTGTGCAGCAGGAAGCTCAGAGGGCCGTCTAATTTTGGACTCACAATTCCTTGCCCCACATCAGGGTCTAGCCCCCACTTCCCAGCTTGTAAGGGGAAGGAGCTGCATTTCCAGAGGCTTCCTTGGCTCTTGCTGCTCTGAGGGCAGAGCTCAGGGGCTGGCTTCCAGACACTGTCTTTGGGGCACTGTCCCTGGGATTCTCCCAGGCCTAATACACTCCTCTGTTCCAGCTACAGGGCCAGAGTTGCACCCCTGCAAGATCTGCATGTCATGATG